AATATGTTGTTTTGGAAATGTCTATAAAAACCTTTGTTAATCCGTAAGTTTTCTCCAAATTTATTGAATTGAGCGATTGAATATGATATAAGGGAGGTGAGGGAACTACACGCCCCAAAGGGTTTACCGCCGCATAGTTAGCAGAGGTGATGAGATTCATGAACTGTCAGAGAAGCTGATTTGCACTCAGTACGCACTGGAGACGAGCTATTCTGCACACTGCATCGTCATACCAGTTATCAAAACGGAATCTCAAATGATGGTAATTTTTGGAGACCTTTAGATTCTGAATTCTATGATTTTACGTCAAAATCGATAAGGTGTTTGTTATGTTGCTGTTTGCGAATATGCTGTCGATGCTTGAAGCTTTGAAATTTTTTTCTTTTTTCATATTTGTGGTTAGCATTTAGACTCTTCTGACATGTTGCTCCCAAATATGCTGGTAGTTTTGCTTTTAACCTCCATTATCTGTCTATAATTAAAATTCCAGAAAATTTTGAATGACAAAATTTTCAGTTTTTAGCGAAACCAGCGTCTTATTCGCAACCAGCGTGACAAAACATCCCTAGTTTTACTCCAATCGGACAAAAAATCGCAACTGAAGATCTTCAAAATTTTCATAAAATTACAATTTCACACTCTAGGATGGCGGTGTAGTTATCGTGAGCAGAATTAGCTCGGCTTCGGTTTGCGTGCAAATTAGCGCTGTTGAGAGCTCATGATCTCTCATCACCTCTGCTATGTAGCTACGTTTCGGCAAGTCTTCCAAGTGTAACCGTTCCCCAGTATGAGGTAGAAAGAGAAAATCATGCAATTGATGTTAGTCTTTGGAACAAAAAATGTTTTTGATATGTAGCGGCGATAAAAACTGATACATATGAACTTCTTGATTTTTTATTTTTGATTGCTTGAATTCCTGGAATTCTTAACAACCTCTGGTTTAGATTTGTATTCAAATTTTCAAGTTTTTTACAGAGATGATTTTGTGTTATACGATTTTTTTTACGATTCGATTCAAAAATTCTAATAGCTTGATAACACTACTTTAAAAAAACTCTTTTTGATTTTTTTGGTGCAAAACTTATGTTGAAAACCAGTACTTACCACACAGAATGGACCACTAGTGGGGTTATTCCCCATTTGCTTACAAATTAACGGCGGCTCGCATGCCATCCTATACGAGCAAATGTTGCCGAAAACATATTCTCTACGATTACGTCAACCTGCAATTCTGCTAGGCTATATGATTTATCTTACAAAGGTAGTCAGAGAAAAGATGAAAATTTCTCAGAGGCAAGCGAGTGATACCCGGTTACCGCAACTGGTCTTGTGTACCCAAAAAAAGCGTTAAAGACTTGTTGCTGTTCATTGCTCAGCCTTCAGTCTATCATTGCTGGATGGTGAACTACGGCAGTCAACCGCATCTTCTCTTTTTCTTCACCTCCTTCTCTTTTAGAGCATGATACCGCTAACATTGTTTTTTGAGGATGCTACTTCTTATAATCCTTAGCCTTGCTGGATACTCGCTGGCTCTCGGTTCAATACAATCCGTGGCGGTTACCGGAATTTTGGAATGCAATGGAAAACCAGTCACTGACGCCAAGTTGAAACTCTATGATGAGGAACTTCTTGGTAAGTTTCGAGCTTTCCACCTTGTTAGTTGTTGGCTACATTTCGTTTTAGGAACGTGGGAGTTAGAGGAAAGAAAAGAAACTAATGAAACCGGCGGATTTC